TTTTTTAGTTCAGTTGATCTTATAATCTTTCAATTTCTTATAAAATCTTCTATAGCAATCGAGATCCTGTTGTTGATACACAAAAACGTATCGAATTAAAATAATTATGAATGGAAGACATTTTCTTCTGTGTATTCTACTACTCGTCATCCGAATCTGTTTCTTCACTGTCTGATTGTAAATAAGGTTCGACGTCTTCCTCCATAATTGTATCAGCTGTTTTGTACATTTCTCCAATTTTACCAACATGGTGAAAATATGAAGTTGCACGTTTATCATCCATTGCGACCATAAATTCCTCAATCAGTTGTTTCACATCATCCTGAGAGGGTTAGACAACTTATCGATCGGTGAGACAAATGCTAAAGACATACGGAAAAACAACTTACCTAGAAAAATGTTATTTTTATACAGGTCCATCTTCAATAAAGAAATATGAAACCTAGCTCATTCTGTCCGGGGAAAAATGGTTTAGAAAAATGGATTAGTGAATTCGTTGGTCGGAATAATTCTTTCTTCATCTCCTACTTATCTATATGTGCAACTCCAGCAGAAAAATGAAAACGCACAGGAATAGTGCCTGTTTCTACAGGAAAAACGGTTTAGAGAAATTGACGAAATATCCTTGTGAAACCGTAGCAGTTAGTGCGGATGGATGCGCAGAACTAACAATTTAGTTATTTTATGTGCCTGTTAAGAAAATGTGAGGGTAGAAAAATGGTGTTAGCATATTTTTTCTTGTCGTTTCTGCAATGAGTTCTTTTTGCAAGTGCCCTGCGTGTTTATTGTTCATAATATGATACATATCTGAATGTAGCTATGTCATACGACGAATTTGAACAACGATTGAATAGTTGACTGGTGCATTAGTAATATTCGTCGTCGTCCATATCTTGCAGATTTTGTGGATCATTTCTGTCGAATCTGTCCGGTTCGGCTGTGAGTCGAATTGTTGCTTGTAGACAATCGCCATTTTGATTACAATTGTTAGCGTTGGATGTTATGATGAGCCTATCCATTGCTTCGACGAGTTCAGTATCCGTGACGTATCCATAGTATTGTCTCTCGAATATTTCACTAAGTCGAGCAAGTTCAGCGTCGTCAATGTCGTCATGGTGAAAAATATCTATCGAAAAACAAAATGTTTCTTATAACGTTAGACAATGTTTATCGTAGAGGGTACCTCGTTGTTCACATATTTGATCGATCATGTGCTCCAGGACAAAATATGTGTCCAGTATCCGTTCATCCTCAGTCGGAGTATGACTCAAACGCATGCGTTTGAATTCAACTACAATGTCGTTCTGTTCTCCTTCCCATTGCGTTATTGCATAGCGCAAACCTGATTGAACGTCCTAAGAGAGAAAATTCATTGATGCAACGAATTCAATATCAGTACCCATTTCGTATTTTGAGTGTAATCCATCCAATTTAGTTGAAATGTACTTTTCGGAGAAACTACTAAAAGCAAATAACGATATAAGCACAAGAACTCGCATTGTGTAACCCTTACGTCTTTGATCGTTATGCAATGAACATCCCGATACTTGTTGAGAATCGATTTGAAGTTCGTCTTCATCCATTGACTTATCGATTTCGATATTATATATTAAGGCCAAGCCATACATGCGATTAGCTTCGTTGATCATAGGTGGGCTCAAACCCAAATCTTGCAAACGTTCGTATATTTCAGTATTCGAGATCATAGTATGGAAAACAATATGCAATACTACAAGCAAAGGAATCAATATAGATGAAATTGAAAGATCTTGATAAAATCGAAAACGTTTCACTTTGTTTTATCAACGCGAGTACTGGTACTCATATACACGTAACAATCTTACACACACAAAAATTATAACCGTTTTAAAGTTTTTATTCGACGTCTATCAACCATATTGTGATTCTTTCGAATTAAAGCAACTTGTGCTATCCAATCCGTTTTTGTTAGATTTAACGGACATATAGTTGTTTTCGCGACACTTGCTTGTTTCTTCTCTTTCACAGAACTTGGAGAATTCACATTTCGCGTTGACAATGCAGGAACAACGTCTGTGATTGTTTTACTGTGATGAAGACTAACATCTGCAATAACCTGGCATTGTTCAACCTGCATAAATACATATTTTTCTCAACTAATCATTTTTGTGTGTTACATACTATATTGAAAATTCGGTTCGATCGAACATTACAACGAGCTAGATTTTTCATGTGAAAAAGTAAAAGAAGAAATACCGGTGCTCTAAGCCAGCCCAGAGCACTGATAATGCACGAATATCTTTTCAACCAGCTGAAACTCTGCTCTGCAGCCTCGGTATTCACATTGTCCAGTACTACATAAGTTTCAAATGCAATAAAACACTGTAAAAACGGTACCTTACATTTGTTGTTGTTTGGGTTCATGTTCCTTCGACACCAATGTCCAATGTGATTCTTAAAATGAGTGCGATCTACGCTAAACTTGATTGTGGATAGACTCATTGCTGCATCAGTTGCTTTTAGGTCATTTCCGATATGATTATGTAAATATTTAATTAAATGACAGCCATCATCATAACAACCTGCTGGTGGTAATTTGCCAGCAACTAGATTCAATGAAAGAATTCTTTCACAAATATTTAACAGTATAAACCTACCACGAATGGTTGAGAAGAGCAAATGAAGGATCTCTCGGAGTGTCTCTGACCGAAATATTTCTCCGAATGAGACAAATACTCGACAATTAGTGACACATGCAATCAATCCAAACGAACGTGAACATCGTCGGATATATGCATCTGAACGTGCTTTATTCGTCCGACAACCAGTTGCTCCAAATCCTTCTTGTTGTCGTCTTTCTCGTCTACCTCTGAATATTGTTTTCTTCTTCCGATACCGAAGTATACGTTCACTTAGAACACTATTATGCATTTCTTTTGACAACTGACAATTTTGATGCAAAACACAGTAGCAAGAATTCGGTAATGGAGTTCGACAACAACCGATCACAAGCTTATCAAACTCCTCTGTTCTAACTTCAACATCTTTGTATCGACAAACCCTGCGTCGACATTTCTGATGCCCGTCTATGATAATAGCAACTGAACATTTCTCGCCACAAGGGCCTATGATTTCTTTATGAGAAGACCACAGATAAATAAACCACGATAGCATTTTCGGATAGGCTTCCCATGACCATTTATCAAAATCACGCAGTGCCATTGGGAGTTTTACAGTGAGACAGCCCATCATCAGATGAAACTGTATTACCTTGTACATAAACAAAGCTTGAGCTAAGCGTTTCCAGCACAGCTTTTGTACTTGTTTCCGACCTTCACTAAATGCTTCTAAATTTAGACTGTCAGCGGTATTCCACCATGAATTAGCATTGTTAACAACATTGGAAGAGTAAGCGTTGATAACATTTCTAGCAATAGCATGACAACCACCCATATAAATAAATATTCCATGAGACAATGAGACGACTGAGTAGATGTGTTCCTCACCAACACGTATAAAGTTAGGAAAAATAGAATACATTTGTGCTTCTTTTTCATTTCCAAAATGCCGACATTCCAACCAAAAAACAGTTCCTGTAAACAAGGACCGTGAAAGAAATAGAAAAGTTGAAAACTAACTTACCGTATAAAACTTCACCTGCTTCACATATTACTTTAACCTGACGACTATGACTATTCTTTACTGGAACTCGTAGCTTGCATAACGGACATATGTTAGTGAATGGTACGATATGTATGAAATCTCTGGTTCGAAATAGATTTTCATTGATAATATTCTTTCCAAGAAGCTGAACGTCAGGCCGTGAATTGAAGAACATTAGAAGGCTTTTAATTATTTCCTTACCATGGTTTGTCCCCAATTTGTTTCTGAATTCAATAGCAATTCGATTGTTACGCTCAGAATCATAAATAGACCATCGCTGATTGAGATAAAATATATAGTTCAGTTCATGTGGTAAAAAATACTTGTACCACCATGATAAAATCTCAATCATCTTGGATGGTGTTCTTGTATTATTTTCCATGACTTTACGAGTGAAATGATTTCACACAATGACTTCTAAAAGTACAATCATTATATCAACACATTCAGTACATCTCGTATTGTAGTCCTGCACGTCATTCATCTAGAAACAACATAACAAAATCAAAGAACTATATCTGACTTTAGTTTTTTCAACTGGTGGTATCAAAGATCAAAACATGTTTAACAAAAAATATGAATCAGAGTATAATCTAACGCTGTTTCTTATGACATAATTTTCTTCGTCGTAATCGATGCGAAATTGGGCTACAGCTTGGTTTAAACATCATGTGGTACCTTTTGTTAGAGGTGCTTTTTCTTTCATTTTCGTTCAAAATTTGAACATGTTCGATCGACTCTGTCACAGTTTCTTGGGAGTACTCGTCGTCGTTCTGTGATTCATTGAAAATCTCCATCCCGATGATTTCATTTCCATCACAGACGAAAACCGGATCAATATCATTAATGCTAGCAACTAAAGCATGAATTGCATGCTGCCTTCATAGTACATTAATCCAGAAATAAATTTACCTGCCGTTTGTCTGTCAACACCATCGCATGCATAAATTCTATTTGATTCAGAATTTTCTGTAGAAAAGCTCTTTTTAAGGTATTTGCTCGAAGAAACAATCCGACTTACCATATGATTCTTGTATCAGGTTCAAATCCAGTGTTTGCCTTTCAATTGTTGGAAAGTCAGTTGGCCACAACTTTTTCGAAACCACATCATGAGTTATATTATTATCATCATCCATTGATCGAGAACCTTCTTGTAACCACAAATATATTTACGAAACTGTTTACGGGTAACGATATCACTTACTACTATTCTGACAGATATTTTCCGTAAAATCATTCTCAGCTTTCGAAATGAAATTACTATCGCATGAGACATCAGTTGCTGTTGGATCAAATTCAGCGGTTGCCACAACTCAAATACAGATATTATTTAGTACAAATCTACTGGCATAGTTGAAAACTTTTTCAAAAGTGGCAGGGAAAGTATTTTAGACACCATTCTTATGAACATACTTGATGATGCATCAGATAAAGGAATCTCATCTTCGCCAGCTTGGGGTTTTCCTATGAAAAAAAATCGAACTATCTTTTTAAGTAAAATACACTTACTGTATCGTGTCATCAAGATATCCAAATCTAAATTTAGTTCGTCGTATTCGGGTTGTTGCAACCATCGGATGACGTCAAGTGATATAACTCCCTTCGCATCAATAACAAGATCACGGGAGTTGTCACGTAAGTTTTCCAAATTTAAGCCCTCTACGCCAATTGCAGCTAGTTTCTCTTCAAATTTCATTTCGTCAGCAGTTGAACACGTTGAAGGCATACGTTTTATATAAATTGGAGTCCATTTGGAACTATAGAAACCTTTTTTGACAACTTGCAAAAGTTCCGATTGCACTAATTCAGTCAACGCTAGGCTTAAGATAGTGGCTGATCTTTTGATAATTCTACTCGTGTAAAGAGTAGACGATGTGAAAATCAGTGATTTGAAAAGTAGAACACACGATTTTATTTCAGGTAAACGTGGTTGTAGTTTGAAAATTCGTTTTTCTTTTTTTGTGGCATTCATATTTCGCTCATTCGGTACAAATGGTAACGTTGTCGACGTTGGTTTGATCTCTGAGGCTCGTTCTTCAGGAGCTAAATACATTAATAATCTGTATTGCTCAATATTTCCCGTGATCAGATCTCGACAACGCTCAACCATGTCCGTTGTGATAAAATGCTTGATTTCTTGATCGTGTTGATCAAGTAAATGCTTAAGAGAGAATTCCTTGATGCGTTCGACAAATTCGGTAGAGGTCTCGCCGTCAATGGGAAATTCTTCGAAAATTGTAAGATATTCAGCTCCGATTGCGTATGCTAGTTCTATGATGTACATAAAGCCTACAATACGATGCGCATTTTGGACACTTTTCCCGAAACGTGCAGCGAGATGGTCATTATCTTTGAATGTCGCACCTATAACAAAATCAATCGACAATGATTGCAACTATATATGTGACGAATATGAAGGGTGGTAGCGCAGCTGATTATTGTTGAAACCGACAATGGGCGGCATATATTCTCAAGAACTATTGGATTATCAATTCAATCTGACTTAGCTATATATTCTAGTGTACTTACTAGTTTCTTTCAAATGATCACACCACAAAATCATTTGCTCATTAGCATCTGTTGCAAAATATAAATGAATGTTTTCGATGAAACTCATTATCACCGCGAATTGTTCGATAGACATAAGCTTTTTGTTGTCGATGGTTGACGTGCAAGAAAAAGTAGGAATAACATCGCCATCCAATGGCCATAATATCGTACGCTCCAATAAAGCATCAGCCATTGAGCCTGATGCTTGACGCGACAAGGCTGATATCATCAAATCTCCTGAAACCGCACCCTTTCAAACAAAATATTTGTAGAAACTGTAAACAACTAGTTCGACTGACTTACTAGAACATTCAATTTGGCGTCGAACACTTGAACTGTTTCCAGTTTTAATCTTTTTACAAAGTTGTGCGGACGGTCATATAGAGTTAGCAGCTGACTTCTACAGTCGTTTGTTGGATAATCTCGAGAGTTAGGCGGCAATAAAGTATAACCCATTTTCTTTAAAACAACGTCGGCCTCATCAGTAATAAGAAACCTTGTACAGCCGCGAAGACTCCCGAGTAGCCCAGCTGCAGTGTTTTCATCAAAATATACGACTCGATCTGAATCCTTTTCATCTTTTGCGCACGATTTGAATTTTGACGGACGGACCTTCACGACTTCGTCGACACATTTTCGCACGATATCAAGTATTGGAGACTTTCCATATGCTAAAGCAAAATGTTACCCCAGGCCAATTCTAGCACAACGCAACTTACATGATCGCGCAACCACCAAATTATATAAATTCATTGGGATCGCAAATTTGTTGGCCCGAAATATTCGACTATTATCACACATCACTGCAGCTACGTTTAAAAGTGCAATAACCATGGCTTCGTTGTGCATTTGATAAAATGAAGCCAAATAGTCCACATCTTCGGCCAACTTTGGTGAAAAACAAATACCTGAAGTAATTCGCAACTTGCAGGCGGCAGAGTAATTCTTTTGAAACCGAGTGAACATTCCGAGAAAATGATACTGCAGCACAACGTTCGGATAGAATAATGATCCCCTCTTCTATGATTCTTTTTGTATAAATGTGTCCGAATCCTCCCAAATCAACCAATGTGAACAGATAACAGATTTGATCTACCAATCACCGTTCCCGCAATCCATCATTGGTCGTTTCAAAGCAAAACCACAGCCACAACAAAAACGAGTGATGTATGACTTTTTATTTATCCAAAACCTTCTATTTGCTCAAAGAATCCCCTTTTCTCCAGTTTCCCTCTTACTTTCAGCATTCACATGTGTCGATCTATAGTGAGAACCATTTTTCGCCTACGCAACAGCATTTTTCCGCTGGCTCAACCATTTTTCCGCTGGCCCAACCATTTTTCGTCTACGCAACAGCATTTTTCCGCTAGCCCAACCATTTTTCCGTTGGACCAACTGCCTTTCGTCTACACAACAGCATTTTTCCGTCGGCTCGACCATTTTTCTTTTGTATGCAATCTACATCCGTGTATAGTTATGATGGAAGTATTGTAGCCCTATGCGCACATGCTACCATGTATTTGGCAAAGTTGCGTATGTTTCTGCAAGCTCAATCACTTCTGCTATGTAGTTTTGAGCTAATATTTTTTTAAAGTGTTTTATTTATAGTTAACGAAGCATTTTTCAGGCAGCGGTCATTTTTCTGCTTAAAATGGACATTTATCCGACCGACCGGAGTATTGTCTACTGCTGTTCGTCAAAACTCCGACGGTTGCCAAGAACTGAACTTAAAACGTCGGAGTAATAATTTAGATCAATCAAATATCAATTATTGCTCACCGAGTATCATTCAAGGTACATTCCAACATTCATTATCCACCGAACAATTGCGATTTCTCAATCATGGACCAACCTATGTTATACCATGTCAAATGCATCCTATTTCACCATCTACATCTAATTCATCACTTCATGATATTCGTCTTCAACAAATGAGACCACTTCGCCAACAACTAACTAGACTTTTCACAAAATATCTCGTTGATCTACCATGTCGAGCGAATTTCGAGAGTAATATTCAACGACAATTTATCAAATCATTTTCCGATCCAATACCATCAGTACTTGGACAACGTGTCGTCTATGAAAAAAGAACTGCTTGCATCTATTCGTTGCCGGTTAAAACACGATCAACTTCTTTTA